TACGATCTAAATGGACATTAGGATAAAGTTATGTGTATATGTATGAATATGACTACCCCATCCCAATCTTAAAGATTAATTCCTAGCTCCATCCATCCATCTTTCTTAATTATTGCGTCTGAATTAATTCAAGAGATGGCATCCAGCTAAATGTCCTCGACTAGTTTTCTTCATCCATATTTTACATCTTATTGTCAGTTTCTAATTTAATTATATTCTTTAACTCAAATTACACATTTACATCTTCAAGATTAAAGAAAAGACCAACCTATTTTTCACAGTAAACATAGTGGAGTAGAATAAACTAAACTAAATTTGTGTGAAGTAAAAGTATAATTAAGTATAAATGACTATAGTTCTCTTCTTTATTATTTTTTTAACATATATGAATATTTTGTATCTTTCTACATGTGATCCTTTTTTTAACAATCAAAAGCTCCATATCTAATTCTTATTCATCAAATTAAAAATCTTATTTATCTTTTTACACCTCATGACCCAATAGAAAAGAGAAAACAACAAGGTATTAACTAAAAAGAATGAGATGGAGTAAGAGAAATGAAATACACAAAATAATAAGGAGGCATTAGACATTTGCAGAAGAAAAAAAAATTACAAATTAAAAGAAAATTGTGAAAAAAGCTATAGAAAATTGTGAAAAAGCTACCTATGTACTTTGAATTGATATATTTACTCAAATATTTTTGGTTTTACTATTTTTTTAAACTTTGTGTTCTAAAATCTATCATAAAAAGAAAAAATAGTAATACTAAAATTAGTGGGTAAAAGATAAAGAGAGTTATGTATTTGTGTTTAAACTATAAAAAGACATTTTAGTTTAATGATACATAAATTATAAAAATAAAAAAAAAAATTCACATTGTAGTGAGATTTTGAAATTTTGAATAGAGGTATTGAAGTTAGTGGACCACTTTGAGATTGATTATGTGATCTATAACTATCTATATCTACTTTATCCTTTTATACATTCTCTAGTTATTTTTTTGTAGTGAATTTTTCAATATATTATATTACTTGAAGCATATATACATATGCCTTTAGGCACTTATTTATGTCAACAGAAGCTGACTCCCTAAACTCAAAATGTCCATTTAAAAAATGGATAAAGATCTCAAAAGTTCTTTATTTGTACCAACAGAAATTGACACCTTAAACTCAAAATGACCATCTTAAAGGAGGGATGAAGCCCTCAATACTTTCACTCATAATACTAAAAAGGGTTGGTTAATGCACATTACTAACCATAAAGTATAATTTTCTCAAGAAGATAAATGAAGTAAAATGAACAAAAAGTTCTTCAGAATTTATATAAGTGAAAGTTAAGCACTTAATTTTTTTTTTTTTTTTTGCATACTAACCCAATAGCCTTGATCTCGAAATTCAAAAGATTCGCATTTCTTCCTCAAATTATCTCAAATCTTATGTACTTCAAGTTCATGATCGTCCAAAGAAAGCAGATGGTTACTCAACAAAGTACATTTGAAATCCTTATCCCCAACCATTATTCCTAAGTATCATCGAGAACTCATGAAAAATAACTTATTCTTTTAACACTTATTATGTATTCCAAATTCCATATAACTTTGAATTATTCATAAAAGATATGTAATGAAACCAAAAATCTATTTTAGTTTTATAAATACTATAAATATTATTAAAGAGGTTTAAGGAATTGGGAGGTTAAGGTCATCACAGACATCAAAACATAAAATATATTTTATTGAGTTCAACTATTATCTCTTAATAATAATATGACAAATGATTACTTATATCTACAATTAGTTAGGAAAAGTAGATTATATAACACATACGAAAAAAAAAAAACAAAACAAAAAAACCTAAAAGAAGAATACTTCATTTAGCTTAACAAATCTAGAAAGCTCTTAACCATTATGTAAGACGAGAGAATGAAAGTAGAAATATTTTAAGCATTTACAATTACCCAAATAGTCTACATGTTCATACAATTGGAGACAAACTTTATCAGATTATCAATAATATTTTTTTTATTTTTTTATGAGAATGTAGAATTATTTTCATTAGAGAAGATAATAGGTTTCAGATAAAAAAAACTAAAGATATGATTATAAAATATGGTTCTATATGTGTTAGAAATAAATTTAGAAAAATAAAAAGTGAACGGGTGATTTTTAGAAAAAAAAAAAGAAAAAGGGTGGGAGTAAAATGGGACATTTATTAAAGGGGTCTAAAGACCATAAGGCTTTGGAAAACATTT